CTTGAGGTATTATATACGAACATTTAATGAAATTTGAAATTCTTGAGCAACACAAAGGTGAAAATTCCTCAATTTGCTAAACGTTTCAATCAAAACATGAATATTCAGTGCCAAATTAGGTTGAATTGCCAATTGACGGAAAATGCAGGAACATATTTACATGAGTTTTCGTCATTTAAAAAAAATTTTCATGTAATAATTAGACTGAAATTAACAGTTTGCATTGATTTTCCCATAAATTTTTGAATTTTCAATGACGAAATTCCTTGAAACTTCCGTGGTGCTATAATATAATGGCAATTTCGAAGAAGTCTATCGGAAATTTCAGCTAAAAATATTCAATACTGTCTCTGTAAAAGGAAATACGCAGTTAGGGCTACACAGTTGGGGAAAAAGGAAAATTTCATGGATTGTTGAATAATAATTTCCAGAAGAATAACATTGAATTTAACTGAGGGTTAAAAAATGATAAAATTTCAGATTTAACTGCAAATTCAATGAAATTCCAAATTCCCTAGAATTATCTAGGCTTACTAGTATTCTTAATCAAAACATAAATATTCAGTGACAAATCAGATTGAATTTTCAATTAGCTAAAAAATCAAGCACATGATCAACAGAATTTTCATCATTTTTATCAATTTTGATTCGACAATTGAACTGAAATGACTCGAAATTCCAGTGGATCTGTAATGCAATAAAACTTCCCAATAAGTGCACGTAATTGCAGCCCAGACATTTTAACAGTCTCCACAACATGAACATTTTTCCCATCGAAATTATAAAAGAAAGGTTCACCTCATTTATCACGAGTTATTTTTCATCTCAACAACTTGAAAAAAGTCTTTCCATCAATTGTCTTGCACTTCTTCGATTCCAACACATGTTCAAAATTATTCACATGTGAAACTTCTAAACAACTTCGTGAAACTCCTAACAATACGCGAGAAGTCGACCGAAAATAGTATAGAATTTTCAACTGAGAGGCCTGGAGTCATCTCGACGTTCAATTTTCAAGTTAAATTGCAAAATTCAAATGAGTGCGACAGTTCGAAAACTGTCAGGTGTCTTTTATTCTCAAGTGTGAATTCATTTTGATAATTTCAAAAGACGAAGTTCATATCAGGTGTTGAATTCCTCCAAATATATCTGATATGCTGATTCTATATTTCCGATTTTTGATCTCTCATTGTCCAACACCAGTTGAGGATAAGTTTCCATGGCAGATGACATAAATGTCTCCCTCTCGAGCGATTATGCCGATAAAAAAATCATGAATTCACGTGACATTCTTAGCGTCGTCACTCTTCCCCTAATTGCCAATGTGATTGACAATTAACACAAATCTGCACTCGAATTGCCAAATGCATGTGCAGCAAAACGTCATTGAAGTAATTGAATTCACTCCTCTGAGTGAACTCAATGTCAGTCAATAGGAACCATTGTAGGCCGGAGTCTCAAAATCTCATCATTAATCTCACACAGACACAGAAAAAAGTTAGAAAAAAAAATGCAGGCGGCTATATCTTCGATACAGCTGTAATTGTACATGGATATGTCCATGGTCTTTCCTTCTTTCTCGAATTTCCTAGAAACTCCTTACACTCCCTCGAATTTTCTGGAAACTCCTTGAATCCTCTCAAATTTTTTAGAAACTCCTTGAATTTTTTTGAAATTTCAAGAAACTTCTCGAATTACCTCGAAATGTCTAGAATTTTCTAGAATTCCGATAAATGGCGCCGCACATAAGGATTTTCAATTTTCAACCAAAATATAAATATTGAGTATCCAATTGCGTAGAATTTCCAATTAATCGCAATGTCAAGAATATATTCATCGGAATTTCCTGTATTTTCATTAATTTTCGTGGAATAATTGAACTGCATTTTACAGTTTTTATCGATTTTTTCATGAAATTGCGATTTTCAATTACAAAATTCTTTGAAATGTCGGTGTGAAACCGTAAGTGTATTATAGATTTCCTCCACAAAAAATTATTTCAAGTTTTTTTGAAAATTAAATCAAATTTCAATTTTTCGAGCAGTGGAATGACAATTCCTTAATTATCTTTAATTTTCAATCAAACTATAAATATTGACTATCAAATTGTGTAGAATTTCTAATTAATCGCGATTTCAAAAATATATTCAACAGAATTTCCTTCATTTTTATTAATTTTCGTGGAATAATTGAATTGCATTTTACAGTTTTTATCGATTTTTTCATGAAATTGCGATTTTCAATTACAAAATTGCTTGAAATGTCGGTGTGAAACCGTAATTGGATAAAAATTTCCAAAAAGTGTATTATAGATTTCCCCCAGAAATAATTATTCCACGTTTTTTTGAAAATTAAATCAAATTTCAATTTTTCGAGCAGTGGAATGACAATTCCTTAATTATCTTTAATTTTCAATCAAAATATAAATATTGAGTACCAAATTGTGTAGAATTTCTAATTAATCGCGATTTCACGAATATATTCAACAGAATTTCCTTCATTTTTATTAATTTTCGTGGAATAATTGAACTGCATTTTACAGTTTTTATCGATTTTTTTATGAAATCGCGATTTTCAATTACAAAATTCCTTGAAATGTCGGTGTGAAATCGTAATTGGATAAAAATTTCCAAAATTTCCAAAAATTTCCACAAAAAATTATTCCAAGTTTTTTTGAAAATTAAATCAAATTTCAATTTTTCGAGTAGTGGAATGACAATTCCTTAATTATCTTTAATTTTCAATCAAACTATAAATATTGACTATCAAATTGTGTAGAATTTCTAATTAATCGCGATTTCAAGAATATATTCAGCAGAATTTCCTTCATTTTTATTAATTTTCGTGGAATAATTGAACTGCATTTTACAGTTTTTATCGATTTTTTTATGAAATCGCGATTTTCAATTACAAAATTCCTTGAAATGTCAGTGTGAAATCGTAATTGGATAACAATTTCCAAAAAGTGTATGAGAGATTGCCCCCAAAAATGTCCCCTAAAAATTGCTGAACATTTCCTTTAAGTTACAAAAAGGCCGATTGTGCGTTAAAGTTTGAGTATACCACAGAGACACGAGTTTACCATGGTAAAATTGGGAAACGTTGGGTGGTCGTCGGCTGAGCCGAGGGGAGAGAAACCGGAGAGTGAACCGGTGAAACCCGTGTATAAGCCGTTGAATATTCAGTGCGATTTTGTGGTTTAAACTTTTAGAGCCGGTTGGGTCTCAGCCTGGGCTAGGCGACGAGCATTACGCTCCTGTGCTACCGGTAGTATTCTAATTAGGGGACGTGCGGAGGGAAAACCCACTTTTGGGTGGCTGAGTTGTGAGCGACAGACGGTAGGGCTATACAGTGAATTAAAAAACCCAATTTTTCGCTCATTCTTTTGCCCTTTTTTCGTTCGTTTGGTTTTCATGACTCATGCGAATGTCCCGAATTTTTAATACGCGAAATTGCAGTTGAAACGAGAACGAATAATTTTTACTTTTTTATTGCTGAGAACGGAGGGAAATTGTGAATGGCATTCACTAATTAATATGTATTTTTTTCATGAGTGAATTCAGTAGCGAAGCGGTAAACCAGGTTAAGTCGATTTTTACTATTGGCTAGTTTTTGACGAATATCTCGGAATCTAAAAGAGATAGAAAGATTTTTGTCATGACCTTTTTTGTAGAGCCAATAGAGCGCTATAAAAAAAGTCGTGAGAAAAATTTTGCTATCTCTCTTAGATTCCGAGATATTCAGCAAAAACTAGCTAATAGTCAAAATCGACTTAACTCGGTTTACCGCTTCACTACTGAATTGTAATGGCTGTAAAACAAATGGGAAATTACTTTCGTCACAACATAGTCAATATATTTTTGCCAATAAATTAGCAATTTGCTTTCGAATTTAATTTCTATGACGCACCCAGAAAAATGATTTATTTGAATCACATGAAGTTTATTGAAATAGGACGAAATTAAGTCTTTTTTCAAATTGAATAAAAATTTGTATTCCAAGTTTTGCTTAGATTAAATAAATGTTTTTTTACTATTATTTAATATTTATTTAATACCGATAATTTATAATCGCTCTGAGACAGTAATAAACTCAAAAAAGATTGAAATCAGACTTTAGAAGACGCGGTCGTGTCTCGCGCCAAGTCCTCGTCTGCCACGCGTCGCTGCATCATCCTTATCCACTCAAGACACATCTAATCAATTCTCAACCACTATAGGATGAATATTTCATCACCAGAACCTCACATTCTCCGCTGCCCATCTTCAATTGACGAATTAATTTCCATTAAAATGTCGATTTAACCCAGAAATTAATATCCATCCCGTTATTTAATAATTTCTAGAGATTCCAGTGGTAGAGTACAGGTGCCCACCGAGAATTATGTTACCTTTTTCCACACAGTCCACGAATATTGTAACACCCCTTCGAAATTCTTTCACGAAATCCATGAAAATGTAATTTTCTTAAAATAAGAAAACTATTTATTTGAAATAAAAAAATTGTTTATTGGATAAAAAAAAATCATTTACTCCTCTGACGTCCTAAGATTTTTGTATGAAACTAGAAATAGCGCTGAAAAGATAAATTCACCGTTAGGATTTATTTTTACTAATTGTCTCTAATCTAAAGAGGATAGAAAAACTCATAAGAACTCTTTGCAGCCCTCAGAATCCTCTACAAAAAATCAGTTTGAAAATTTTTCCTATCCACTTAGACTCCACAAAAGTTCGCTTGTTGGAAATCAGGCTTTAGGAGGCGCGGTCGCGTCTCGTGCCAAGTCCTCGTCTGCCACGCGTCACTGCAGCATCCTCATCCCCTCAAAACCCATATCTAATCAATTGTCAACTATTATAAACTTCACAATCGCCTCTAGGATGAATATTTCATCAGAACCTCTTATTCTCTGTTACTCATCCTCAATCTACGAATTAATTTTCATGAAAATGTCGATTTAACCCAGAAATTAATTTCCACCTCGTTATTTTTTTAATTTTCAGAGAGTCCAGTGGTCGAGTACAGGTGCCCACCGAGAATTATGTTACCTGAAAGGCCGCAGTGACGACGACTGTCAGAATTACGTTCGTGTATTCGGACGTCAGGGACCAGATAAGTTTCTGGCATGCGGAACTAACGCCTACAAGCCCCAGTGCCGGCAATTCATCGTGCAGGTGAGTACACCACTCCCCTTAATTAACGAAATTGGTAATCAAACTTGGTCCCTCATATCACATATCACGACATGACCGACTCCAATGATGATTATTCAAATCTTGGTGGTGCTCATCGATGGAAAATTCAAAAGAACCGAGGACTTCAATTCCTCTCCCTTTATTCATCAATTTTTCCGCGTCCCCAGTTTTTTCAACACTTTTTTCCTTCGTTAATTTTGATTATTACGTCAAGTCAGAGGCTCCAACGCTAATGGAATACCCAGGGGAATTAAAATGTCGCCCGTAGGCTGTTGTATATGTTATCGAATTTTCGTCGTGGCACGTCGCAATTCAGGACATGAATCGTGGATGTTAATTGAGCGACGTAACACAGCATGGTAGTTCACACAATGGCACAGCCCGGGGACAACAGAAAAAGAATGGAAAAAAATTAGAAAAAAAAATTAAAAAACGGGGAATGAAATATATTTCGCTAATGGAGATTGCCACCGCAAATATCTGACAATCTCTTTGTGTCATTCCTTTGTGCCTTTTTGACATTTCATTTTGCGTTGTGTGTCGATTAATGACGTGTGAAAATAAATCCCTTCTCTGTGGGAAACGAGACAGGTGAAATATTGGAATATTAATCGATATTTTGGGGTTGCCGATGAATCAGAGGGTTTTAATGAGTGGGTGGGGATGTCTGTGGTCTCGATTTTGTGGCTTGTTTCAGAATTCAATGATTTTGAAAACTCATTAGTGATATAATTCTTCACTGCTGCATGACATTTTCTTATTGAATGAGAAATGAGAGAAATGAATTTATCGATTTGACCTTCGACATTTGGTGTATAAGTACTGGATTTTGCTGCATAAACGATTATTTGAAGGAATTATCGGTCTTTTCGATTGAAAACCGAAGGAATGAAGAACTCATTGAAGTCTATTCCAAGAGACCCGAGTGGAAATTCAAATCAGGCTGGAGTCCAAAACTGATCCGTAAAAACTGAACCAGGTCAGTTTTTGACAAGGCCTTGTAACGCTGTTGAGGAGCCAAATCTGATCCGAATGTGCGGATCCGAACTGTTCGACTGATCAGAATACGATCAAGAAAGACTGAGTCGCGACGGATCCAGATAGTTTCGTCAGTGACTGGCTCAATACTTATCGGAAACGCCTGATCAGAAAAGGCGGACCGGTATCGGATTTCTGTCTTACTTCTGATCAGCCAACCTGATCAAAATTTCCACTCGGGGAATCATCGAGTATGATTCATGTAGAGGAGTTGGTATTTGGATAATGGATAGAATTGGATGATGGATAGAATCATTGATAGCTCCATTCATCATGACTGTTTCCACAGCTGAAAGGATGTTGTCAATTGAATGAATCTTGCAGATGATTCCATGATTTACTGATCTGTTGATTATTGATCAGTGAGGACCAAAATGAGTCGTTTAAAATTCGGGGATGAAATTATATAGAATGGAGGATAATGTCCATCTGATTTTGAGACAATCTAATGACTAACAATCAAACTTCACTTCAAATATTCTGTTATATTTAGCATCTATTTTTGAAGAGATGTTTCATTAATTCTCAAATTAAATGAAATTAAGTCAGATCAAAATCAAGTTTAAGTTTCAGTGAAACCGTCATCATCAAATATTTTAATGAATCCGTTTATTGGATTCAAATAAAGTTTATTCAATTCAAATAAGCCATTTTTATGAATTCATGTTACGGTGGAGATAAGAAAGTTTTCAAAAATCTTCATGCCCTTCAATATTTGATGGTAAAGTACTGAGTATTGCTGTATAGACGATTATTCGAAGGAATTCTTGACGTTTTCGACTGAAAACCAAAGGGATGAAGAACTAATTGAAGTCTATTCCAATAGAATCATCGGCTGTCATTCTTGTAAAGGAGTTGGGATTTGGATGATGTAGTTGATGGATAGAATCATTAATAGCTCCATTCATCATGACTGTTTCCACAGCTGAAAGGATGTTGTCAATTGAATGAATCTTGCAGATGATTCCATGATTTACTGATCTGTTGATTATTGATCAGTGAGGACCAAAATGAGTCGTTTAAAATTCGGGGATGAAATTATATAGAATGGAGGATAATGTCCATCTGATTTTGAGACAATCTAATGACTAACAATCAAACTTCACTTCAAATATTCTGTTATATTTAGCATCTATTTTTGAAGAGATGTTTCATCAATTCTCAAATTAAATGAAATTAAGTCAGATCAAAATCAAGTTTAAGTTTCAGTGAAACCGTCATCACCAAATATTTTAATGAATCCGTTTATTGGATTCAAATAAAGTTTATTCAATTCAAATAAGCCATTTTTATGAATTCATGTTACGGTGGAGATAAGAAAGTTTTCAAAAATCTTCATGCCCTTCAATATTTGATGGTAAAGTACTGAGTATTGCTGTATAGACGATTATTCGAAGGAATTCTTGACGTTTTCGACTGAAAACCAAAGGGATGAAGAACTAATTGAAGTCTATTCCAATAGAATCATCGGCTGTCATTCTTGTAAAGGGGTTGGGATTTGGATGATGTAGTTGATGGATAGAATCATTAATAGCTCCATTCATCATGACTGTTTCCACAGCTGAAAGGATGTTATCAATTGAATGAATCTTGCAGATGATTCCATGATTTACTGATCTGTTGATTATTGATCAGTGGGGACCAAAATGAGTCGTTTAAAATGCGAGGATAAAATTCGGTAGAATGGACAATGATGTAAATTCGATTTCGAAATAATCCAATGCCTGACAATCAAACTGACTCCTTTCAGATATTCTGAGAACATCTGGCATAAGTTATTCACGGGATTCTCCATCCAATTACCAATTACTACATCGAAAACCAAATTTTCTCAGTATTATCATCTAAATAACGTCGCAAGTATAATAAGAAAAATTGAGAAAACAAGATGATTCAGGTCAATTGAATATGACGCAAACCCTCAAGATATAAAGATATAAAGAGGAGATAGGATGCAAACGGAATTACGAGAATCGATGAAAAGCCAATATTTAAGCACTTGAACGAAATATCGAGCATCATCCGAGCGTCTTTTCAACGAGAGCTTTCTTTTCGAGTGGTTGCAGAGGGACGCTTTCTTAAAAACTTGTTGCTTACTCTTGTGCAGGTTGGAATGAGTAATGGTTCTCATACCACTCCCCCCTGTACCTCGTACTTGTCCTCTCAACCTGAAGCATTCTCGGTGAAACGGTATGTGAGAACGCGAATCGTTTCATCTTCGAGGGCGCTTTTCTCACAATATCCATCGTGTATCTCACAGAAATGTCGGTTGCGAAGCGAAAATCAGCAAATGAAAGGGGGAATTATGGTAAACTATTAACACATTTCGATGTTTCGCATACCAAAATTCAATTGTTGCAATTTTTACTTTTGAAATTGAGGGAGTTATTCCGGTGATCAGTGTTTTGATGAAATGATGTCATGTGACGGTTTTGGTTGAAAATTGAATTCTCTAAGAAACAATTATCATGACGTTTTGCTTTAAAATAGGTCTTTGATGAAATGAATATGAAATTGTGTTGAAATGTGACGAAATGACCAGAACCTCTTCGAAATTTCATATTCCTCAACTTCCCCTGAACTTCATCTTCTGAGAATTTCAACTTATTTGAAGTCATATGGAAATTTTTGTTAAAAATTGAATTCTCTATGAAAAATTTGGTATAGCATTTTGCTTCAAAATAGCCCTTCAAAAAAAGGAATGCAAGATTGTATTGAACTGTAAAAAAAAGACCAGAAATTCTTCAAATTTCAATATTTTGATGAAGCTTTTTCATATTATTTGAAAATAAAAATCTTCAAAAAAAGTTTTACATTCTCTGACTTTCCATGAATTTCATCTTCTTCTAATTTTCAGCCATTTAGAGACCAAGTATATCCAAGTATCTTTTACAGTTTGTTACAGACCATACTATAGATTCAGTCATTTTCAATTAATAAATTTATCAATTTGCAAAAATCTTTAAAAAACGATGAATATTCTGCGTTATTTAAACTACATTTTGCACAGAAATATTTTCTTCATCATTCTTTCTTTATAAATAAATAATTGAAATTGTTTAAACTTTTGGGACCCTTATTTTTCGGCATGAAATCGACTTCTGGTAAAATTCTGAATATAAATAAATTTGTTACAATTCCGAACAAATAATTATTATGGTAGTACATTCATTGTTTGTAAATTATTTATAGAAAATGTTTGTAATTTTAAAAAATGCGATTTTGCAATTGTTTAATCAATCTTCTCCCAAGAGTAAACTTTCTGATTTTTTTCACATTTTTGAAATGTTTTAACAGCTCTATATCAAGATTCAAATTCAGACTTGCAAAGTTTAAATAATAAAACCATTGTAAAATGTCCGGAAACTTAGGGTCAAACGAGTTGAAATAAAAGCTCTGATGTTCCACTACGGAAGTAGAAAAGCATTTCACTGGAAAAAAAAATATCCAAATTCCTTGGATACCCTTAACATTCAATTACACGGAGAGAAATATTCAATAAAAATTACCAGAAAAAAGACGTAAAAATTACGTTTCGAAACGTAATCTGGGAGCGAAGTAAAATTCAATAAAAAGAGTCAATCGTCACGTAAATTCTACGNTTCCGTAATTTTTCCGGAACTTTTCGTAAAAATTCTTAAACATCCAAGAATTTTCATGTTCTGAGGCATAATAAGTCTTGAAGTTTCTGTTAGATTTTACAACTTCCAGAAAAATTACGTGACTTTTTCGTATTTTTTCGGTGACAGACCCTAAAATTTACTGAACGTTTCAGATTTATTTTCTTATATTCCTATAGAAATTTACTGAAAACCATTCTCGCTTGCGGATTACGTGAAATGTTCCGTAATTTTTCTTGAATATTTCTCTCCGTCTATACATGAACAATCACACCCTAAATCCAAATTCCGTAAATTCAATTCCCACCTGTTTAATCACAA